TGAGCAATGTGAGGAGGAGGCGGGGGTGGGGGGAGAACTTCAGGAACTCTTATGCCTGTTGGATCATTTTCCGAGAGCCACCACGCTCACAGCTACAATCCACGGAGAGACCGAGATTCAGATACATCGCGTGGTGCGAGTGAGATTTTGCCTTGTATTTTCAGAGAGTAATGATCAATAGGATAACCATCAGTAAAGAGGTGCCGGCCAGTCACTGTAAGACCAATATACCCTGGAAATCAGTGTTAATGATCTTTTTCCCCACCAACATTCCCATTTTTCGTAAATCCAAAAAATCTCACACACACACACACACACACAAACTTCTAGATACTCAAAAGCACATTGACCTCTTAAAAACACACCAAAAATTACTTGGCAAACACCATCCCTAACCCGGAAGCCAAAAAATTATCCCAGAGCTTTACTTTCTCTAGTTTGCAGTATAGAAATTATCATATTTTCCTTTTCAAACATAAAATCACACTTAACATTACTATTTTCACATCGTACTGCAGCTGTCTTCCCCCAGGAGCATCTCTTGTCTCTCTATGGAATATATTCACCACTAGCCAGCGCACTGGGTTTCATGGCCTTACCAGTTTGACCACGTTCACTGGGAGATTAAAAGTATGCTGAAATATACCCTGAAAACTTTAGAGCCTATTTATGCCATTTCAGTGGCTCAGGCTGGGAGATTATGGTCAAGGAAGTGAGTGTGTGCATGAATTCTTCTCTTACTTTGCATTGCTTTCTGAGTATATTTTGAGAATGTTAGTTTTTTTTTTCCCAATTATTTGACATGATTAAAAACATTGAATAAATATTCAGGCATATGTGGTGATGGATGCTTCCCTTGGAGCATAAACCAAACTGAAAGATGTCTGACATGTTGTATTTCAAATTTCAGTGGTAATATTATTGACAGACAATATGTCCCTTACCTACAAGGAACACGATGTGCCAGCTGTCCCAAACATTGTGACAATGGACTATGCAGTAAGTTTGAAATCATTAACTCGCTTGTATAATAAAATGACCCAGGGGTGGGTGTAGCTCAGTGGTAGAGTGCATACTTAGCATGCTCGAGGTCCTAGGTTCAATCCCCAGTACCTCCATTAAACAAATAAATCAACAAAATAAACTTAATTACCTCCCCACCAAAAAACAAACCAAAAAAAAATGACCCAACATTACTAAGAATTAGGAAATATTCTGAATGTAACCAACTTAAGCAACGTTTTCATGCAAAAGACAAAAAAATTACTCAACAGAGGTGCAGTTAAGCAACAATTTTACATCATTCAGTATTTATGTATCATTTGCAATGAAAAGCCTGTTACTGTATATAACCTAAGGAAACAGCTACCATCAACGTATATTTGTGACTGTGTTGAACCCATTACATGTTGGCATACATGAAAAAGTTTCTGTGGAAATTATTCATTGTCATTAAATATTACTTTTCTTTTCATCAAAGTTAACGTCATTATAGCAAAGATGTCATTTTAAAAAGAGAAAATATGTATAAATATAAGGGTGTGAGACTACAGAATAGTTTAATCTGGACAAGCACATCAAGTATTTTAATTCCTTATAAGCCAATGAGTTCATCATACTAAATCCTTTCCTTTCCCCATAGTGTAGTTAGAACCATCACGTTTAATTTAATAACCACTTGCCCTTTTGTTTGCTAATAACTTTTACATACTTTTAAAATGTCAGTCGAATCTGCTGATAGTGTTATTAGCTCACAGAAGCCTCAAAAATATTTTAGCAAAAAGGAGTAAAATTAATGTCATATAATATCTAATTTCCAGTGTTGTGAATGGAGGTACAAAGTGTTGGCATTTTTTTTTAGTTGGCATATGTTATTAAAATGATTATGAACAATATAGTTGACCCATTAACTGAGATTTTTACCTCTCAGATGCATTCACCTGACTGAATTGCAGCATTCTCTGGGTGAACTGCATCGCCATAATTCAGAATATTGATGATATTACAGCCTTACAGAAATCAGCTGAAGGAAATAATAGTTACACCTCTGCCGAATACTATTTGTTAAAGAGTTTGGAATTTATCCTATTAGTAATGAGAAGTCAATTGGAAAGATTTTAAACAGAAGAGTGAGGAACTCAGAACTGTATTTTATAAAGAGTTCCTGGCAGTAGTCTGAAGAAACAACTGGACAGGAAGCCAGCTTGGAGACTGTTGAAAAACATGGGTTCAACAACAAATAGACGTTAGAGGGGGAGGGCATAGCTCAAGTGGGAGAGCGCATGCTTAGCATGCAGAAGGTCCTGGGTTCAATTCCCAGTACCTCCTCCAAAAATAAATAAACTTAATTACCTGCCCCCTGCCAAAATAAAATGATTAAATAATAAATAAATAAAGTATTTTTAATGTTAAATTTAAAAATTATTTAAAAAAACAAATAGATATCTTTACTGCATTAGGGCAAAATGAATAAAGAGAAATGGACAGTTACGAGAGAGAGAAGGCAGTAGAATTACCAGCTCAGTTACTTGTGTTTGTTGGATGCTGATGAAAGGCAGAGGGGAATGAGTTCAGGTCGATGCCTAGTTCCTGGTTTAAATTATTTACTTGGTTAGGACTGCCATTTCTCTGAGACCCAGTGAATGGAGTCAAGAGCTGGGGAGGGAGACCAATGAAATGCCAAGCTCGTGGGTAGGATAATGAATCTGATTTGAGATTTGTTGAGTGCGTGGCCACGGAAGGACATCCGAGTGGAAATGCCTGGCAATCAGTGAAATCTCCTTTTGTTTTTACACTTTTACACCCACCTCTTCTCATAACGATATCTTAGAGTCTGGCATTAGAGGCTGGAGCAGCAGTGTCCAGCGTAACTTTTTGCCTGAACGGAAATGTTCAATGTTTGCACTGGCTTGTAAAGTAGCCTCTGGACACAGTGGCCACTGAGCTCAAGGAACATAACTAGGATCACTGAGGACCTGACATTTTCATTTGACTTAAATTAGGTTTACATTTAAACAACCATGGGAAGGGGCTCTCATTTTGGATCATGCATTTCTAGAGAGATTCATTTATATTCATTTGATTCTGTTTTCTGAGAGAGGAAAGGGGGTCCATTCCTTTCAGGAACGTTTCAAAAATCTCACATTTTAAAAGGAGGGATGGATTCATCAGTGAGTTTAACGCAGAGACCTTATGTGTCCCTCAGGATCTGAAATGCCCATCCCAGTGTAATGATGCCAATATGTTTGTTCAGTTCCCTCCTCTTCAGTCCCCCTGAATTTACCACTTGTGTTGCAGCCATGGAGGAAAATGATAATGAAGTGACTCATTTCTTTGTTTTCATTCCAGCCAACAGTTGTGAGTACGACAACACCTATGCTAACTGTGATTCTCTGAAGAAACAATGGACCTGTAACGTTCCTTTTGTGAAGAATAATTGCAAGGCTGCCTGCAAGTGTTCGGACAAAATTTATTAAAAGCCCAGTACAGACGAAGCAGGGCTGCGTGCGGGAGGGCTGCATCACCCGCGTGGACTTGACGTTTGCTAACGAGGAAATCACAGACACGTTAGCTACCACTTTGATTCCAAATAGTAATAAGTCTTTGTCTCCCGATCTGCTTTTCATTTTACAGGATTATTTTTTTTCATACAAAAGGTTAAAAAATAAGCTCATCTATGACAACAACTTTGGATTTTGATAAAAAATCGGGCGATTTCAATTTCATGAATTTAATCAAGTTGAGGACTCTGAAAGTTGTTGTCTCTTACAATGAAGTTCACTAGAAACCGGAACTGAAATTGAGAACCACGTATAAAATAAACAAGCTGCAAGGATATACCATACAGCACAGGGGGTCTAGCTAATATTCTATACTAACTATAAATGGTGTATAACCCTTAAAAATAGTGAATCACTATGTTGCACACCCGAAACTTGTATTGTACATCAACTATACCTCGATTTTAGAAAAAAGACTGGGGAGGAGGTGAGAAGTTAAACCAGAAAACGTGGGGGCCCCAAGGCCTGGGAAATGGAATGGAGTCTGATTGAGAACTCACTTTTCAGCTCCTACAGGCAACCCCCAGGACCAGCTGGCCTGCCAGCCTAGGGTGGTTCTCCCACCTCCCAGGCTCCCTTCTCCTTCCCCATCTCTCAAAACCCTGCCTTGCAGCCCTTGGGTGGAGGGTAACCTGGTGCTGGGAAAGAGCTGGGTCCAAAAAAAAACAGGAGAGAAAGAGAGAAAGAAAGAAAAGAAAGAAAGAGAAAAAGGAAGGAAGGAAGGAAGGAAGGAAGGAAGGAAGGAAGGAAGGAAGGAAGGAAGGAAGA